CCCCAAAACCCCAAAACCCCAAAACCCCAAAACCCCAAAACCCCAAAACCCCAGCCTGTAGAACAAAGTTGAATTTGGAATAGAATCTTCTAGATTATTCCTTAGTGAGATCTAGATCTGCCTCTTCTAAAGCTTCAGCGTATTCTCCGCAATCAACAATTTCTACTGGGTCTTCTGGGACATCATTTGCACCGGTCTTAACTCCTTCCATAGCTTTAACTGTCTCCCATCCTTTAATGACTCTTCCAAATACGGTGTGTTTGCCATCAAGGTGTGGAGTCTCTACGAATGTGATGAAGAACTGAGATCCATTCGTGTTTGGCCCAGCATTTGCCATGGAAAGAAGTCCTTTTTCAGAATGTGGAATCCAGATTTGCTCATCATCGAACTTCTCTGAATAGATACTTCTTCCTCCTGTTCCATTTCCCATGGTGATGTCTCCTCCCTGAGCCATGAAATTAGGGATAATTCTGTGGAATTTGTTGCTCTTGTAGTGAAGTTTTGTGCCATCTTCGAGTTCGTGCCCAGCAGTAATGGCTCTGAAGTTTTCAGCTGTCTTTGGTGTCTTATCTGCGAATAATTCGAATATGACTTTTTGAGGTTCACTCTCTCCAATCTTCACATCGAAAAAGACTTTAGGATTTTCTGGATTGTATGCTGGAACTTCTGAGAATCCTTCCTTCCTGACTGGATCTTCCTTTTCAGCATATAGTCCACTAGAGAAAGCTTGAGAGAAGAGTCCCTTTTGGGATGAGATATACTCTTTCTTCTCCTTCTTGATTATTTCATATTCCTTCCTGAGGGCTTTATCTTTTGGACTAGCCTTAATGGCGGTCTTGATATCATTGACTGCAGTATCAAAATCTTTGATGTTTCTGCTAGCAATAGCTCTGAAGAAGAGAGCTTTGACGTTATGCTCATCAATCTCAAGAGCAGCAGTGGTAGATTTGATAACTTCGCTCCATTTTTCCATTTTCTTCAAAACAGTAGCGATATTAAGATTAAAGGTTTTCCTTAGATCTTTTGCTTCATCAGTGGAGTCATCCTCGAGCTCATCAAGACTCATCACAGCCTCTCTGTACTTCTTAAGGGCTTCCATGAGATTTCCATCTTTGAACTGTGTGTTTCCATCTGCTTTTGATTTCTTAGCTTCTTCCATCAGTTGTTCATCTGTCAAATCTTCAGTCTCAGCTTCGTCATCTCCTTCAAATTCCTTCTTCTCTTCCTCTAAATCAGCTGGGGTTTCAGCTTTCTCTTCTTCTTGAGAGATTTCAGGGGCTGGGGTCTCTTCCTTGGGTTCTTGAACCTCTGTGCTTGGGGTTGTTTCTTTGTCAGACATTTTCTTAAAAATCTAAATCAATTAATTATTAGCATTGCGGGGTTTTGGGGTTTTGGGGTTTTGGGGTTTTGGGG